GATGCATTGGATGATCATTAGAAAAATGCGGAGTTAAATGCGAAGAATGCTAAGAGCGAAGCAAGACATCCTTGGACGTGAGCGTTCAGGTGTTGGCGAACTTGCACCCAGTTGATACTGCTTTTGATTCCGTACATCGAAATGCTACGAGCAAGATTACTATCACATGCGGCATATCTGACATAACACTTCAAACTACGGCGTTTTTTCCACAAATTTCATGTCCGTCCTGCAGAGCATATTTTATCACCGCCACTGTTCAGTATCGCTGTGTGTTCAAAGACAGACTGTCACAATTTCATGCCTCAGTTATGCCACAGGCGCAACTCAAGCAATTGCTACATTTCTGGCAAGTTTGGAACATTGACAGTACATCTTAGACATGGGCAGTAAACGATTACTATTCAGCGGAGTTCGGTAAACTGATTGTTAAAGGGAATCGAAAAGAAATCGCGTTTCAGCTAAACATCGCACAGTGAGGGTTAGACTTTGCTATGCTTATGGAGATGTCTGTTTGAAATATTGACTAATTGCGGTTCTGCAAAAGGTTAGCCGCTTCGCTTCTCCTTGCTTCGTTCTTGCTCCTTTTCTTGTTGGCACTCTTCATGTCAAGCGAAGTCACAGGTACAATGGCACGTGCTGGTTATTTACTTTGCCAAGACGTTGAAAGATGTTTTAAAGCGATAAACGTGCAGAAACAAATACAAACAAAGTACACGTAAAGAAAATTTTGCATCTCACAGTTGAGACCAATAGCACTGGGTAGAATTGGAGACGAGGAGGTGCTTACTTAAAGGTCATTGAAATATTAGCGACATTGATAAGCCGACGACTAAAAGCGCACGACAGATTAGCTGACAACTGAAACATTGGCTGTCGAACCAGAAGTTCACGATAACTTCGACACTACACATCTGCTGTTATTTCGACAGTGATCGGCTTCAGAAATCGACACATTCATTATCTTCGCGCTATCCGCTGAATGGCCCTCAGTAGCCGCTGGTTCGAGCTCCGCAAACTCATAGGTCAACATGCCATTACGTAGTATGATTTTATCTAACGTATAGCTTGCTCGTCAAGAGGCAATAGGAGCTTCCGCGAGGGCCAACGACAACGCCTAGGCGTCGAAGCTCAACAGCTTGAAAAAGATATGGCAAAAGGGGATTGGACAACTTTGTACAGCCAAACATCATCGTCAATAGTGGCAAACACACTGATGTCACCGGTCATCGGTCTGTTAGGCAGCAAATCCAACGAGCCGTTTCAAGATGCTGATGGCAGTCGGAAACGATGGACCGAGCACTTCGCAGAGCTCCATTCTAGGCCTGATCCTACGTCCGGTCTTAAAGAAGAAGTGATAGAAAATCTAGATTTTGACATAATCACCAGCGACCGAAGAATTGCAAGATGCAATATGACTCTGCGAAAGCTTGAAGGCACGATGGAATTGATGCGGAAGTCCTGAAGTGCGGCAGCGAAGCCCTTCCCTTGTTACTCCTAGTTTTTGACACAACCTGACGAAGGTCGGCGATACTCGAAGACAGGAAGACAAGTGTAATTATCCCAATCTTCAAAACCGGAAGTTGTGTCATTTGCTCTTACTTGGAAGAAATCACCCCTTTGCCTGTACTGACAGAGGAGTGCGTGCGAATCATCCTTAAAACATTGAAGAAGGTCATAGATCATTCGCTGCGAACAAATTGGTGGCCTCAGCAACAGACTCTCATGCATGGATAAGATCTTCGTGCTGGAACGAACCTTCGAGCAGTGTTGGAGCTTCGAGTTACCCTAGCACGCGACGCTCCTGGAATTTCGGCCATCCTTTGATTCACTTCATCGCTAGGCTGTATGGCGTGGTGTTGGCGCGGCCAATGACGATTCAGCACCGATCGATAGTCGTTATCAACGTGCAGTCCTCTGGTGCGTTTGATTTTATATGATTGGACTGCGGTCATCTCGATCAAATGTAATATCCAACCTACCATGTTACATATCCATGAGCACAATGTGAAACCTTCTGTCGAACTAACGAATTTCTAAGATTCTGAGATTTCGTCCATCAGCAGATGTTCATTATTAGATATTAATACAATTAACACAATGCGAAAAAGTATATCAAATAAGTTGTCAAATTGACCGATTATTTCACAAAATGTAAATTTGTGTATATTATTTTATTTAAAGTCAACTTTTCATGGAAGAAAAATCGGCTGAGGTACAATAGTTACTTTATTTATACAGCAAAATTTTATATGCCGTATGTAGCATCATTGTGTCATTTCGTGGTTATGCTCTAAGCCACGAAGGTAAGTAATAATAACTTTATTATGACAGTCATTCACACTAGATATTATCCTTTTATCCTCATCCCGATATTTCTTCATCTTTAGTGATGTAGAAACATGGAGTCATAAAATTAAACGCAAAGTCGTTAATTTGAAAAGTTTCACACTGTACCCACGGAGAGTTTATGGATACATAACATGTGGATTGAATATTGCAGTTGATCGAGATGAACACAGTCCAATCCTATAGAATCGAACGCGTAACAGAGGGCTACAAGTTGATAAAAACTCTCGATCGGCGTTGAATCGTTCTATTCCGTGTCATTTATTTTCCACTGCTGAATTCCGCAATGGTGGCAAACTTAAGAGAAGAACTGTAGAAAGGGATGACATGTGCTGTCTGAGCTGAGGAATCATTAGAAGTGATGCACCAAAAACGTTAGTTAGGAGAGGTGCTCTCACGTTAATTATGCAGTATCATGGCAGAATATATAATGCTGAAGAGCGGAAGAGCGTCATTCCAAACAACAACTAACTGATCATTTGTCAACGATACAGCTCAAGATTTCTGACTGTAATCCTAACTGATCTTGTGCACATGCGGATATTGTATTGTTAAGCGATTGCTAAAGTGTCCTATTGATGCTCGTCTAAAGCAGGTACGACACCACTGTCACAATGAGGCTAAAACCAACGCCAAGAGGATGAAGATTATTGGATCGCTCGTCGCGACTATCAGCCAAGAGTAGTATGCAATGACATTGCGAGAGACGAAAAGGGCCGTTTTAAGTATCTCAGAACGTGTTCGTTAACGATGGCCACACTGTTCAAGAAGTGAATCCATGCGTTGAATTGGCATAAGCAAATTTCGGGAAACTGTACGAATATGGAAGAATCGAACCTTCATCTTCATCTTATTCATCTTCATCTTCCATCGCCGCTTCTCCTTTCGGGTCGCGGAGGCAGACGCGTCAGAC